TAATTTCTTATTATCAAAAATAAAAAAAATGCTATTTTTGGTAATTTCTTACTCTCAAAACAACAAAATCAAAAAAATTGGTGAACGAAATTCAATTTTCTTATTTTTAAAAATCAAATGGCCGGAAGGTACACGGACCGGTCCTTTATATTATGACAAGACTTGAACTATAGGCTAGAAACAAACAAATTAGATTATTAAACTAGATAATTTAGAATAATCATAATATTCTTAGTGCGTCGTTTCCACGTTACTTCTTTTTGGCCATATGTTGGTGATAATCAACAAATAACAACATGGTCGCCATCTCTTTGTCATTTGACTCTCGTGGGCGATGTTTTCAAACCCTCAATTCCTATTTTTTCTCGTATAGGTGGACAATCCATGAAAGCAAAGTAGGAAATTACACATAAATATAAATTTAAAAAATATAATAAAATAACAAGGGCGGATCCAGGGGGGCAACGAGAAAAAAACAAAACAAAACAAAACAAAACAAAACTGAAGAATTAGATGCTTTTTTATTGTTTTCTGTTGTGTTGACGGAAGAAACTCAATTAGCCCTCCCTAAACTCAATTAGCCCCCCCCCCCCCTAAATATTGGCTGGGTCCGCCCTTGAATAAATTGAAGGCATTATGTACTTACGAACACAGCAAGTCTTCTCACAGACAGTCGCCCATATAGCGGATGAATATGGCATTGGTTTCATACAGTCGCCTTGGGCTTTGATATCTGCGCATGGCTTGTGAGGCTCGTCAGCGAAGGGCGTCGATGCTAAAATACAATATACTAGTTACAGATGGCGAAAGTAGAGAGGAATATGTAAATGCGGACTCCGAAGGACTTGATAAAGCGACTGCATTAACAGATTATTCTTATTTGGTAGGTTAATTGTTCTTATGTTCTAAACCTTCATTTCTACGACACTAGAGAAAAGCATTTGCGCATGCGTGCACTTCAGACGTTTTCTAAGAATTTTGAAGAGTTTGAGTGAGTATACAAAAAGTTCGAGAGTATACTTTTGTCAGACCAAGATACTGTATTAACAACCACAATAAGAAAGATTTAGCCTTACGTTTCAAGCATGGACACTAAGTTTTGGGATTTTGTGAAGTCCAATTTATCAGGCATGGTGTTTTGACTAATTTGCATACTGATTCAGAGCATGCGCAGACGTTTTTCACTCGTGTCCATTTCTACGCGTATTTTGCACATGCGCTTTAAACATAACCGCTTCGCGCATGTGCTTTAAAACTACGACCACTTTCTTTTCGTTTACTTACCACAATTGGGATTACAAGTCTTCGCACAGACTGATATATAAGATTGACATTGTCCTTTGCGCTTTATTTCATCGCACTTGAAACAGTCCATGTGGTTTTTACAATCTGAACCATCGCCTACAAGATATAGGTTAAGATAATACAGTTAAGACAGCAACCCGGTAAGTTCAGTTAGTTGGGTAACCTGTGGTGTAGGAGATCAAAGGTTCAGCCCACACAAGACCAACACTGAGGGTTTTGAGATATCTTAGTATAGAGGATGTTGTTTTTACCGTGAAAAAGATCTGCAAAATTAATGGGTTCACCTTCGCTTTGGCTCGGATGACCACTTAAAATGGCGGTCCTGCCTCATTTAGAGCACAGAGGGCTACAAGTTTATCACTTGCGACTGTAAACTATATCAAACTCTTGGTTTTTATATTATTAGACGACGATTAAGCCATGGCGCCAGCAACTAGAAGAGGCGGGTAAATGTAGTTGGTAAAGATTTTAAGGATAACGAACGTGGTTCATTATATTTACTATATATTTCAAATATTTGTAAATATTGCAGATTAACAGTATTATATCTAATTCCTTTTAGTTTCTATTTTATATTGTATATTGTGTATATGTTTAACAGAGCTCCTTTTGATATCAGAGACATTCTGCCACTGACTGGACTACCCTATTGTTCTTTTTATTTAAGTTTAAATAAAAGTGTCTATCCATCTTTTGTTTATCAATTGACACGGTTATCTTTGTTATTCACAAGGCTTTATTTTTGTTATAACCCTCATTATAAATGCGAGGTCAATATATAGTTATTAACCCGGTTAATAACTATATATAGACCGTTCGCATTTATAATGAGCAACATTTGATAGAAAACCTTCTCAATTGATAAATAAAATACTTAATTACCTCGAACGGAGGCATTAAGCCTATACATCCCTCGGGCCTGCGGCCCTCGGGATGTATATGGCTTATTGCCTCCGTTCGAGGTAATTAACTCTTACATATTGCATGGCTTGGATCGTAACTTTTCGATATTTCTACTCAGTGTAAAAATTGTACTCTAGTAAATCGTTGGAGTTCTATGTCTTAAAAGCTGTGGAATTTGGCCTTCTCTACTTTTCCTACTTACTTCTTTTTGCTATTGTTCCATCTTCATTTGTGTCAGCTGTTGGAAATGAAAGAATACGTGAATACAATGGTAAAAAAAGTAAATTTTCAAGAAGACTTGTAGGCATGTTACTATAGCTAGGAGAAAATAAAGAAATATATATATATATATATATATATAATTTTTTTAAGAAAACGCGAAAAGGAAAAACAAAAAATAAGCTAAAATGAATAATAGCAAGGAAATAAAAAATATGAAAAAGTAAAGTAAAAGGGCTTTCCTTATTGCTAATTTATTAGAGGGTTACGTTTTTGACATTTCGACGCTTACACCTAATTCAAATAACGTCGTCATCGCCATTAAAGGCGATAGGAAATATGCGATAGGCAATAGGAAATAGCCAATAGGCAATAGGCGATAGGCGAAAAGCGATAGGATATATTTCATTCCAAGATCCAAGTGTAGCTGGAATGACTTGTGTTTCTTATTCTTATTCTCGTCAAGAGTATGGACTTTCGTGCTGAGACTGATTCGATGTCAGTTCTTCTTATTCAGCAAAACCATTTCCAGGTCGGAATGACTTATCGCCTATCGCCTTTGGCGATGACAACGTTTTTTGAATTAGGTGTATACAAGAAAGAAAGGAAGAAAACAAGACAAATAAATAAAAAGAAGAAATTTAAGGTAAGAAGGAGAGGAAGTAAAAGAGAAGTCTAGCAAATTGGTTATATCTTGCAATTGTGATTGACAAAGTTAATAACAGTTAAGTAAGTTTAACTCACCACTTTCCCAAGGCCAGCTAAATGACGAAACAACAGAAACGAATAAAAAAATCACAAGTCCCTGCCGGAAAATCATTGTTGAAGTAGGAATTTGTGTTATTCCGGGCAAGGAATTCGATATGTGAACAAAATCAAAGGAAACCCTTCCTTTTATATAGTAATTACCGTAAATCACTAACTTGGCAAATTAATCTTTGATTCCTCTAATTATCAGTTACCAGGCAAATGTTGTTGTTTTTGAAAAGCATGTGTAACTTGATTACTATGGATACCCTCATTTTCTTGTCCTTTCTGAGTGACTTTTGTGTTCTGGGAAGCTTTTCTCTCGTTTCTCCATTCGGTATTCCAGAAAATCGTCAAGTACTTACAATAATTAAAAATGAAAAACATTTTGGAGGATTTTGGGTCTGTTTCTTGGTAGCAAAGTAGGTTTTTTGGTGAGAACTAATTGAGCAATCTCATTGAGTGTTTCTTAACGAAATTAATCCATTAGAATCATTAAAACAAAGTAGTTGTCGGGTTTATGTTCTAATGCTTTTGATACTTTTGAGCGAGAATAATGGTTATGTTCTTTCGTTTTGAGCTGCATCATTCATAATCACTAATAACAAAATCTTAAAACATAAAGAAAATAAAAAATAAAGATAAAAATAATTTTTGGTTACATCGTATAATTTGGAACCTTTTTGCCAAAATTTTAAATTAGATTATTCGATATATTTTTATCTGTTAGATTGTTCAAATTTCTTCCCAAAAAACACAGATAAGAAAGAAATAGTCTTTCAGATAATGACTTGTGGATTCAGAAAATGCTAAAACAGCTGTTTATGAATTTTGATATTTCATATAAATTTTTATAAATGTCGAAAAATTAAGAAAACTTCCGTTCGTGGAAATGATATCTTTATTTTTTACATTGCTACCGGTGCTTTTTTAACATGCTGATAATGAAGAAATAGTACATGTGGATTGAACAGTCATGGGAATAACTTTAAGCTAAATTCAAAGACCGTGGCAGGCGGTAGCAATGAATCATGACGCATTAAATTCATGGAAACGAGATCAATTATATTGAAGATAGATTTATCATATATTATCATCAATATAGCAGGTTTTCTCAAGTCAAACTTAAAGTGAACCCAATCTGTTTTGAAGTTAAATAAAATCTTCGATGAATTTTTTTTGTACTGAAAACTTCAAATAAAAATATTTAAACGATAACCTTAAATAATTTCTGGGCTGATCAACATTAGGGCACAGGCCAATTCACAAATGAAATTGAAATTCAGCGAAACGAAAACCAGATAAACTGGAGAAAACATTTCTAATGAAATGAGAGACCTAAGTCTACTAACATGTGCTGTCGAGTCAAGGTATCAAACCCGAGAGCCCAGAGGTGAGAGAAAACCGCACTACCTCTATCCCACCCTCATATTGTATGAAAATTGATAGCTTCAAACATTAAGACCGATAGACATGTTTAATTCACATGCTTCACTATCAAAGACATCTTGAAGCATCTGTCTGTAAATTTTTCGTTAAATTTCTACTCAAGTACTTTGAAAAATAGACGTCTGCATTCGCTATACAAAATTCTGGGTGCAAATTAGGATTTCTTTGAGGGCAGATATAAGAATAAGTTACTAAAACAAGAATAGAAGATCGCGAAAAAGCATGGCTAGTAAAAATGAGGCTTCCAAGCGAGTGATGTTCTCCCATTTCAAATCATGTGTCATTCTCTCGAGGATAAGATTCTTTCTTTGAGTTGTATCATTATTCATGAGTCTTCTCATGTGCAACCATTAAACAAAGAAATGATACTCTAGGTAATGACACGTGGTCTGAAATGGTAAAACATTACGCTCAAGTAAAGAGGTATATTGCATAACAACTTTTTATGCAACAACTTCAGTGTCATTGAAACTCGAGTTTGTGAACCGTAATCTTCTTGTAAAGGAATCGTGACATCGTGATCTATTTTGATATAATTGATTTAAAGTTGTAAAAAGATTTTATTCTGACTTCCAAAATTGGCTCTTACACTGCTCGAATTTCATATCAGAGGCCTTTTTAATCTTCTTTGTACAAAATGTAATACCCGGAGAGTACAGACGTGAAAGTAGGCTTATCCTTTAATGGAGTGTAAGATAAAGTTTCCATGGCAACTTTGAGTGGGTTAGAGACACCTTAAATTAACATGATTAATGATTCGAATAAGTCAAATCGTAAAGATGTGAACGTGATGGTAGTTGAGTAATCTTTATTGGTAACTCAATTCCTAAACTATTCATTTGTAATGAAAATGCCTGATGTGACAAGAGAAAGAAAGAAAGAACCTTATAACCTTATGACCTTAGATTGGACTAACAGAAAGAAAGAAAGAAGGAAAGAAAGAAAGAAAGAAAGAAAGAAAGAAAGAAAGAA